CGAAGTTCACCAAGGGAAAAGTTCGCGAGTCATAGTGAGTTTTCGCGAACTTTTCCATCACTGTTTGTAAGTTACAAGAAAAGGTCGTGAAGTATGTGTTTGATACATAAAACCTGCCAAAATTGCTTTCAGTGCGTCACAATCAGTGATTTAACGATTCGTGAGCGCTCACTCAGAGTGAACGCTCGCGAATCATAAGATCGCCGATTGTGACGCTCTGAAAGCGAAATTGACAGGTTTTATGAGTCGAACACATCCTTTACACCCTTTTCTTGTTACTTACAAGTACAGCATATCATTATATCATCTGATGATCTCATAATTTAGAAAACCATTGTTTTAAAGCAAGTCAGTGGAAGCAACCCTACCTACCACCAATAAATTTGTTCCGAACGGCCGGAAGTCCACGCTGGTGCACGGGATGATCACTATGCCCCACCTGTTCACTATGTTCCTACGTCTCATAATATTCAAAAGCCGCCGGTGCGGGACCTTTTGGTTCACCCAGATATACAACGCACTACGCTGCGATGACAATAGATTCCGTGTAGCAATTTTACTCCACACACGAGGCCAGTTGATTTCGGGGCTTGCTATCTCCACTATTGGTCTGTCCGTGCGTTCTACGAAGAAGCGAAGGATGATATCGGCGAAGGGGTGTTGGCGGATTTGGAAAGAGAAGTTTGAAAAATTGTTTAGGATTAAGTTGAGGCAAGGAAGGGCTGTAATTAAATTTGATTGGGGAGGATTTGTTTGGTTGAGGTAGGAACTATAGTTAGGAAGGGACTTGATCTCGTGAAAGTGGCGATTAATTAATAGCGCCTTGCACTTCATCGCTGGTAGATGTGGCTTGAGGCCGCCATGCTCTTTACTGCGCACTAACTGTTGCATTTGAATTGAAGAAAAAAATCAACGAAAAAGGTAACTCCGTCAGCTTTGCCACGAGTGCAGCCGTCAAGTGGAGGTTTGCTGCCATATAGCACAATTTGGACGACAGGAAGATATTCAGTAACGTAACTTTTTGGTGTTTTGACAAGGTGCGCAAAGAGTGCAGCCATACTTGCCGAGAAAAGTTTGTCACAAGCGAGTCCCAATAGCTTAACCATCAGCCTCACCGAGTTGGCGAAAACCACACCAAGAATTTTGATGGTATTCTCCATACGAAGCCACTATACAGAAAACAGAGGGTGATTGCTGATTACACCGACATCGATTACCGTTGTTTCGGTTTCATTCAAACGCTTGTTTTGGTTTCTTTCAAAGCGCCTGAACAAATCTCGCATTGTATTTACTGCAAGTGTTGCTTGAAGGGAGCCGGACAGAACGCCATGAGTTCGAAGTAAATTTTCAAGCCGCTGCTTCAAGATCCGTGAATGAATTTTGTAGTCCACATTGACTAGGCTTATTGGCCTGTATGAGCGAGCGGTGTTCCCTGTACCGAGTTTCTTTACCAACACGATCACTCCATCAACGAACTGAGCTGGGAAGTTGGATCTGATGGCCTCATTCAATATCAGATTCAGTTCTCGATGAATCACATCGAATGTTCGCAGGTAGAACTCTTAAGGTAGCCCTGGTGATTTTTTCGATGCGGACGTACGGATAGCAGAAAGAATTCCGGTCGTTGTGACCTCGTTCATGGTGGCTTCATTCACAGCATCTTGTTCGGGGATGACTCATTCGCAGTGAAAAGGGTTGCCTTCATCTTCTTCGTCCACTTGCTCACGAGCGTGCAGGTTGGTGAAGTATTGTAGGATATGATCCTGAATAGAAGCTGGATCGTCGATTATTTCGTCTCTCTCGTTCCGCAGCTGCTTGATGGTGGGTTTCCGGCGCATTCTTTCACGCAGTTGGTAGGTAGATAGTGGCTCTCCGGCAACGAAAGTCTCGTTACTACGCACAAACAGTTCGGAGAAGCGACGTTGATGCGAGAGATTTCTGTCTTTAGTCGGTTGATGGTGGCTAGCATGGCACGGTTGTTTTGGTAGCCATCGTACGCTTGCCATAAGCCCGTGGAGACGCTGTTGTTCACGATTGAAATCGTCGAAAGCGAGCTTTGATTTCCATCGGAAAAAAATTGGAGGGTAGTGTACAAGACACAACCGCATTGTTGACATAGGACTACGAAATTTTTTACGGTTCGGACGTTTTCGAAGATGTCGTGCAGCAGGAGAATGCATACGATGAGGGTTTCTCAGTTAAAAATTAACCCACCGATAAGACTACAAATAGAACATAATTTATTTCCCCAACAAATTATTTGATTTTTGAATCATTTTGATGTATTTAGTGACAAATTGAATGGGTGAATCATGGGCTACTCTATATAAATTCTATTCTAACTCTTTACTGAAATGAACTTGGTGGCCCTGAAAAGGGCCGTTTTGTTACGTTGGTGATAAGTTTTAACCTCCGAAACCGTACAGTCGCTTCAGAGCGTAGACGACATCCATGGCCGTGACGGTTTTGCGCTTGGCGTGTTCAGTGTAGGTGACGGCATCACGTATATTTTCTAGGAACACCTTCAGCACATCTTGGGTTTCCTCGAAGATCAGACCGGAGACGCTTGACACAACCACGTCGAGCCAGACGACGGATGGCAGGCTTGGGAACACCCTGGTTGTTTTCACGCAGAACCTTCCGATGACGCTTGGCGCCTCCTTTTCCAAGCCTTTGCTTCCCTTTGCTTACTTGATGCTTGTTTAACGTTGAACGGGTGAATCGAAACTAAGCCTAAAGCGTAGATTCGGAACGTACGGTTTCGGAGGTTAAAACTTATCACCAATGTAACAAAACGGCCCTTTTCAGGGCCACCAAGATCATTTCAGAAAATAGTTAGAGTAGAATTTATATAGAGTATCCCCTGCTTCCAAGTTTGGTTACAAGATTACAACTATAGAGAGCAGCGGCGCCCGTGGTGTAGAGGTAAGCGTCCCAGCAGGCCTGGGTTCAATCCCTGCCGGGAAGTTCAGAGGTATAACATCTCTGATCACGCCTTCCTTCGGGGTTCCCAGTTCATGAGTTGATGGGTCGATAGGCAGGGTCCGTGTGGGCATGCACAGTTGTACACACCAACTGCTCATTTGGTAATAATTTTTCACTCAGAGGTTGAAATTTATTTTTCTTTAAAGTAATTGATAGATTAGGCTCATAGTTTACTATAGATATGCGAAGATTAGGCAAAGCTTAACATTTGAATCAACACTAATCAATTTAACACTTAAATTCCGAGATGTGTAGTGAGCATTTCTCACCTCATTTTTACAACGCTTAAACAAATACAGTTTACTATTAGCATTAAAATCTACTTTACTTTACATATCTATAACAAGCTTACACTCTATTCTATCTACTGCTTCAAAAAGAACTATGTTGCGTCAACTGTGTGCAAAGTTATTAGCAAATGAGCAGTTCGTGACCAAAACTGTGTATGCCAAGCATGGGTGTGGGTAGCATTGGTGCTCAGCACGAAAAACAAATCCTAGGAAGAAAACAGCATTTTGTGTGGTCGTTGGGGGTGTGTGGTGCTGAATTGGCTACAAAATGTTCCGCAGTTGCATCCTCCCTACTCGTACACGCCCGAAGATCGGAGGCGAATGTCACTTCGACTTGTTTCATCTAGGAACCATTCTCTGATGACTGTGTTGGGGAAGCAGCACATGCATGTACGTAATTGGTGGATTTGTTAGTTATTTAGAAGCTTTTGGACAATGCTTGACATTTACCGCGTTTTCAATAGTTTCTTGTTAAAAATCAACAGTCAAGAGCATTGTTATCGATGCGTAGAAATGTTTCTGATCGATTGGTGATAAAATAATCGAAATTGATCTAGGGCAGCTAAGTGATTAGCGTTCAAAATCTTTCATAATTTCATTTTTCACTTTTCATAAATTGTACCCCCATCTTCCCGAAAGACGTAGTCCTACGTCAAAAATGAAAATACAGGTATACCTCGAAATAAATTAACTGCGAACAATTGCAGCTTGCTCTATGACCGGCATAATCGGCACACCTGCGGCACACTGACAAAAAAGATGACCCAAGATTGGTGTGCGGAGTGACCTCCCCCTTGGTAGAAGAAATGTGTTTTATCAGCATTAATTCTGGCAGCTCATTTAGTTTGTACATATTTCTGGATTTACTAAAAATAAATGTGATTAAGAACGCCATTTTATTATCTTCGGCCCAAATCAGATAATGTAATTGGAAAAATATTAAAAATGTACCGCGTAAAACCAGTTCAAATGCATAATGAAAATTTATGGCCCCACAGCCGATATGGATTCAAAGGTCTGGCCCGCGGTTCAAAAACGGTGGGCTGGCTTGTTCTAGAGGAAAACAAACTCGATTGTTGCACGGCAAAGTTTGAGTGGTAGAAAGCGTCATTCAAACTGCTTGAATGATATGAACCATTAACCATTATCCATATACACTTTAAAGGGTCAGTACAGAATAAGATCGCATGCAAATATGATATGATTTGGAATCGGTTGAGCAGTATGGAGCAATTTCGATACTATGAGCCACGCTTATCCATATTTTCCTACCCTAAGCCAACAGGATACAAATGGGGTGGGGGAGGGGTTAGGAATTCACGGGTTGTCATTCGATTTTTATGCTCGATTTCAATCATTGTTTCAATAACGTTTCCCACATTTCAGCAAACAAACTAGCTTTGTATAACCTGGATCAGGTACGCAACAACTATGCCACCGATCAACGCTGACGCTATATTCGGTAGATTTTCCACGCATAGCTTCGGTTATGCTTTCTTCCACCACAGATTTTTTTTCTAGCGCCGAGCACGTGTGACGCTTCAGTCGAGAGAGTTAGTGCACTCATGTTCCGGTGTGCATGTGTAGTGTATCTATCTGTGTATGATTGTGCATTCGTTCTTTTGTGATTCGGCTATATCGGTCCTTTGCTATGAACCACCCTTTCCCATCCTTCACACCGCCGAACAGTTTTATGTTTGACCACGGTTCGATCTAAAATTTCAGATTACGACGCTTGAATGAAGCTGGCATAATGGACCACCAGAGACACGTTTGGCAGGAACCGAAACCGAAATGTGTGCGCAAAATGGCAGCGACGGATCTGATTGTTGGTATGGATAGTGTTTATTCGGCGTTTATCTTGCTACTGACCGGAGCGGTCGTGTCCATTGGCTTACTACTGATTGAGATACTGCATCATCAGATGAGACTGGCGAAAAACTACTGGCCTCCGAGGCGGTGGCAGCAGCAGCAGCAGCAACATCATCAATTCAATGTCGGGAATTTACCGCAGCAACTACAACTCTGGCAGAAGCCGGCGCCGACCTGGGATCAGGACTTGGCTTATTCCTATGTTGATTGAATTGATTTCGGTTGAATGAGTTCAATAGCCTGGAGGATGGACGTTACTGTGGTCGTCATATATAGGGTGGCTCTGTTTATCTAATGGGATTGTTGGTTAGTATGATGGTTAGTCGAACATTGGCGCAGTAATTTAGTATAATGAAGAATTAAATTCCCCTGCTGGATGCGCATTTTAGCCAATTTACTTGGAGAATTATTCCTTTAGTATCGTGCAGTCTGTTCATTGTTAGATAAGTTTATTGTACCAATGGACATTCTTGATGAGGACCGTAATTGAGCGATATTGTCTAGACATGTCCGTTAGAAATTGTGGTACCGTTATAATTGATAAAGAATCAGAATTGTTTTGTTAAAAATATAAAACTACTTTTTCATCCCCAATTCGTCCTACGATTTTTTTTAAATTCCATCCAAACGCATTGAAACGCCATATCGTTTCTTTTGTTTTTGAAAACAATAAGTATAAATACCCAAGTAGCAATTTGGAAATGGATGTAATGTCGGCCTGAATGCCCCTAATTTGGGCCCATACATAAATTCAGTAATCGACTAAATTTTCAATAGTGACTTAAAATATCCATAAGTATCATTGACGCGTTCATCTAGATATAATTGATAAATAGCAAATTGGTAGGCCTACATTAGATCCATTTCCCCTTTTGGTTCTTTTTGGTGTCAATAAAGTGTATCACAAAACTCCCTACTGTTTACAAATTAAACTAAATATATGGATTCGCCTAGAGACAGACATAAAATAAATCGATTGGAGCTTTTCAACGCAGAATCGTAGCGATGTTGTCGACGGAAGGGAAAAGGAATACAACTCCAGAACTTTCTGGGAGGCCAAACAGCTCCGACTGAACCAGTCAACAATGACAGAACAGTCAACTGAGAAGAGTGCAGTGAATGCGGTTCACGAAGCACTGGACGCCGATAAATTAGACGCTTAAAATTGATGGGAATACCCAAAATATTGTGAATGGCGTTTGCGTAATGTTCTGATTAAAAACAGACCAGACTTCTCTAGAAATTGCATTTCGATGATGATCCGAATAACATGCATTAGTGCTAAACTGAGACTGCGGAAAACTGCCAACTGGAAACTTCGGAATCTTTCAGTCAGCTGGAAATTGGCTGCCTTCGCAGCGGATTCTTTCGGCGAAAGAGTCAACTATTCCAAAAATCCCAGCAAGCGCACATTAACTTCTTCGCATCATCCGGAAGAAGGGAAACTGTATGAGAACGATTGAGCTTCCACCTGTTCCTAGTTATGTAGATACACTTCTTGATTAACTGCTTCCAATGGATCCCTTATGGAGTATGCCACGCAACTTTTTGACCAAATCCGGGAGTAGAAACTCGGTGCAATGATCGCACGAAAAAAAAATCGAAAGATAAACAAATTTTGACGTTTAACTTTTTCCAGGCAACTTTGCCATCATAAAACTAAATGGAATAGGATCAGATAAACACAATACAGTCTGTAAATTGTCTTCATTGAAGCCGAATAAAAGCGTTTTGTGTTTGTTAGCGATTTCATGAAAGCAATATAGCTTTTTCCAATTGGCCAATGCACAGTGGTCCAGAATGCAGATTTAGGTGGAATGATATGTTTTGAGCCTGAAATTGAAACTTTAGACTAAAAGTCTCTTTTACAAAGTTGTTCCTTATAGTTAGGCCCTCATTTTTATGACAATGAATTCTAGGGTGGTTCCTATTATCATTAAAATCAAAAATCTAACTTTTTTGTTTGAATAAATTAAGGTATATATTCTTCGGCAAAGTTATAGCTTAGCTAATTTCAAGCAACTTTGTTGGAAATAACTTTTTTGTATCTCTTAAATTGGCTGATTTAGAGCTATTTTCTTGAATTGAGTTAGGGTGACTCTTAAAAAAACAGTTTTTTTGCTCTATTTTTCTTATTTCGAATTTCTTAGCAAAGGTGTCTTCAAATAACTTTTAGATCTTAAGAAGGCGCAAATTTTTGCTACACAAAACTTGTCAATATCTTTCGCCGATCAAGAGTTATTGACGTTTTTATACTAAAAATATGCACTTTTCAAATGTTAATATCTCTTGTTGGGGCAAACAAAAAAAAATTTTTTTTGCAGCATTAGAAAGGACGTATGTTCTAAAAGTTATCTGAAGACACCTTTGCTGAGAAATTCGAAATAAGAAAAATAGAGCAAAAAACCTGTTTTTTCAAGAGCCACCCTAACTCAATTCAAGAAAATAGCTCTAAATCGGCCAACTTAAGAGATACAAAAAAGTTCTTCTGAACAAAGTTGCTTAAAATTAGCTCAGCTATAACTTTGCCGAAGAATGTATACCTTAATTTATTCAAACAAAAAAGTTAGATTTTTGATTTTAATGATAATAGGAACCACTCTAGAATTCATTGTCATAAAAATGAGGGCCTAACTATAAGGAACAACTTTGTAGAAGAGACTTTTAGTCTAAAGTTTCAATTTCAGGCTCAAAACATATCATTCCACCTAAATCTTCATTCTGTACCACTGTGCAATGGCAAATCAATTTTTATGCCACCGCCATATTCCTATTATTTCATTTGTTTTTCCTTGAAAATAACTTTAATCTCATCAATTCTTCAATGAGCAGTAATAAAGATTAAAAAAATCATCATATTTTCTCGGCTGGATGCAATGATTAATATAAAAAATAACTACACTTTGTTTCCCAAATTAAAAATAATAAGTAAAATCAACGATTTTCGAAGGCGGACTTATTTTTTTTTTTCGATCTTCCGAAGCACATTTCAAGCCTAGTTTCAAGCTGAAAATTGCATTAGGTCCTAAGTAACATGGATCGATTCTCTTCGTCGACTTTCTCTTTCGTTAATAACAAGAGCACATTACCACATCTTGTTGTGTTTGTTATATTAGATGCTATATAAAGCTTCTTTTAACGATTTGTGTGCTGAAAATACATTGGGAATATCTTAAGATGGCCTTGAGAATACAAAGAAAAAGTCGACCAAGAGAATCTGGCAATGTTACTTAGGACCTAATGCAATGTTCAGCTTGATTTCACATTAGATTTAATCGGTCACCTAAAAATTTACCACAAAATGAGAACTGTTTTGATAATTTTGGTAAAGCATTCACTTTAATGATGAGGAAATTTATGATGGTTTATAACCTATTAATTTTAGAACAATGAATTTGGCAAGATCGGATGATATTTATGTATCCTTTTTTATCATGATTGATGCTTTATTTTTAGTGCGCTTAGCCAGCGTGAAAGGCAAATGGCACAATTGTTGATGTCATATGGCTTTTATTGCAGCTTTAATAAGGATTACAAATGGTTCACAATGCTTTCATCGTATAACCTTTTTGCAGCATGTGCCTCAAAAATTTTCTCTTGAAAACCTTCTTCGGGGTGGGTTTTGGTGGATTCATAAAGGAAAAGCTGTCTTGACCAGGGTTTTATGAATTTTGTTTTATAGTAACCTTGTCGTACTTCATAAAACGTAAAATGTTACTTGGGTATTCACACTATGCACGCTCACTTGAAAGTATCCATTTTGAAGAAAACTTACTTTCAAGTTAGTGTGTTCGGGCATCCTAATAGGTGTTCTGTTGGAGCTTTTGAACTAACATATCGGATCAAACGAATGATTGATTTTTGAACTTGAATGAATCACAGTTTTATTCAATTATTTAATAGCTAGTAGGTTTGTAGACGCCATGGCACCCGTTGTAGACTAAACGTTCGCTTACAGAAAGGGAGTATTTGATTCCAACTTACCGTAAATGTTAATCACTGCCAACAATTGATCAGCCGACATTTTACTTCTGACATCTACATCTGAAAATTCAACAGGTCTACAGACAGTTGTTATTTTTACATAATTTGAAAATTCCCTTTCAGTTAGTGAACGTATAGTATGGCTAGTTTTCGATGCCGCGTAACAATTTTCACATCATTTAGAGTTTTCCACATCAACCACCTCAATGTCTTTGATATCATACTTAATTATTGTGTGGCTGCAATCGGGGTTTTGGAGGTGATTCGGTGGCCGACGTTGCTGTGAACCCATGAAGTTTTTTTTTGGTTATGATAACCGAATTAATTTTTTGTTATTTATTTTGACAGATACAAGATAACGGCAGCTGTAGAGTTATTAAAAATCTTGTTGAAAACAGCTCATAATCTGAAAATTCAAAGGTTTTTTAGTAAAAGTCCTGGAATCGCTTCTACATAGTGCTGTACTGCCTGCTGCAAGACCGATTATCCGATTATCAGCATGGATTCATACCTCGCCGGTTCACGACAACCAACTTAATGTGCATCACCAACGTGCTGTTCCGGAAAATCGAAACCAGATGAACTCTATATAGGGGAAATTTAGGTAATGTCGGCCTACATGTCCCTAATTTGGGCCCATACATAAATTCAGCAATCGACTAAATTTTCAATAGAGACCAAAAATATCCATCAGTACCGTCCTAATGACGCGTTCATCTAGATAAAATTGATAAATAGCAGACTTTGGGCCCGATGGGCCCAATCTTAGATCCATAGACCAACATTGAAGCCATAGCCCTACATTAACTTTTCTTAAGCGTTCGACACCGTCCCACATGCTTATGCGACGGCGAAGCTAAAACATATGGGTTTCCCAGATTGGAAAATGGACTAGTTACCTAACGGGCCGAGAAGCGTTTGAACAGGTGAATTCTTCACGCTCCAGAACCTTTAGCATGCCATCTGGTGTCCCACCGGGTAGTGTGCAAGGGATCTTTGATATTAGTCCTATTCATCAACGGCTTGTGCCTTTGAATCGCTTCTGGTAAATTGCTCTTTGACGATAACTTAAAAATATAAAGAATTTTCGCATCCATATGTGACAAGTCACTCCGTTCGTTCACTCAGTCCATAGTATTTTACCACAAATGGAGATTTGTTTATGTGTATAGAGGAAAAATCATAAATAAAACCTTAACTAGCTAGATAGGGACTTAATTCAAACTA